GTTTCGGACAACAACGTGCCTTCGTCAGCGGAGAAAAATAAGCGTATAGGTTTAACATCGATGAGAATTGAGAACTAAATGCGGCACCGTCTCGGTCTGGCCAGCCGGGTTGCCGATAAAATACACAAATGTTTATAAGCTGCCATGATGTGCTTAAAAAACTGCTGAAAATATATTTTAAAAAATAAAGATAACTACTTCATCGATTTTATCGAAAGAAAACATGTACATGTATGTCTAATTACTTATTTCTTGCCACTGACGGAGGCACTTTTTTGTGCGAAACGTCCGGGTCTTATTCGTATTGTTATTACTTATTGTATTGTCATTCCCCGTGAGAAAAAAGGATAACTCTTCAGACAGTAACCATAACAGCGAAACGGCTTAATGTAACACAATTCGCTGTGTATACGAAACCTATAAGTCCCTAAAAGTAATCCTATTTATAACTTTTAAAAAGATTCAGCTTATACAGCTTGGGCATACAATTTTTTTCTGCATTAAGATAATATTCATTTATCTCCACAGAATATGGTAAATTAGTGCTGCTGAAGTTAGCTTTCGAAGCGTCTCCTCCAGGCATTCCACAGCTCTCGTGCCATTTTGGATCACGGAACATGGCTGGGTGCAGGACAGGTCGTCTGCGAGCTTGGCCGGACCACGTGACCACCTCCTCCCCTCCCCCTCACTCCCGTCCCCTTCCCCAGCAGGGCGTCCGATCTAACCGCGCCCCAGGCAGTCGGCTCGGTCCGACCCTCCCTGGTCGAGCCACGGCCCGGTGCCGCCTGAGTTTGTGCCGGGTGCAAAACTGGAGCAGTAACTAGCGCCGGAACTAGTAGTCAGCACGACCATCGTCAGATGGCAGGAGTAAATGGAATAAGCGGTTCCAGGTTTCAGAAGGAATGGGGCAGGAAAAAGCGCTGAAAACAATGTTTTGCTGATATAGCCATAAAAAGTTCACTGAATTAGGAGAGCAGCACATCAGTTTAAAGCCCTTAAGATGGTGGTTTTAATAAGCACACAATCATTTCTCAATTCGCCTCCAACGGTGTCACAGGCAAAGAATACGCTGAAATACTAGTGTGTACAGAAGCAACTGCGGGTCCCTGTACCTATCTCAATCTACTTTAAAGGAAATATACCACTTTCCTCAAATTAGTTTTGCTACAGTTTTGCGATGTTTTATGCTTAAAATGATCAGAAAAAAATCATATTTACAAAGGAAAATATGCTAGGTCGCGTTCCATACTTTCACTGAAATATTTAAAATATTTTCATATAGGAAGAACCACATTCCATCTTTGATAGAGGTTAAGTATTGTTTGCTGGGAAAGCTTATTACGGGTTTACCAGTCATATTGCATAAGCAGTTAAAACCAACTGCACTATGGTCTGCTGAACTTGACCTCTGCGACAGGTGGCTGCATTCTTGGCATTCTTCAATAATCACCACATTCCTGCATAACTCATTTCTAAACAGGAAAAGGAATATCTTTGCCTAGGGCCAGGCTGGAAAACAGTAGGCGCCTATAAACCCTGCAACACATGACAACTATCGCATTGATGCTGCAAGCGAGGAACGTGTATGAAATTGACATGTAGAAATTGCAATATTGGACACCGTTCAAAGAAACATAGGTAATAATAACATTAAATCAAAGACTAAATCCTACCGAACCAAAGCAGGCAGAGGGCCAATGTCATGTGTGCTTGCGTGTGCTTGCTTTTCATTGCGTTTCAGAAATGTCTCACCTGCGTCAAAATACGGTCACCCGATTGCTACCAAAACCTGGGCTTTACTCAAAACCAAAACAAACATCGGATCTACCTGTTTATTATAGGTATCTTGGTCCTTAGCAACAGACAGCTTCGGCTTTTCGGTTACGGTGAAGGACAAACCCATGTCCAAACGAGGTGTGCTGGCCATTGTCGGTTCGGTATATGATCCATTTGGACTGGCATCTCCCTGTGTTCTGGTTGCAAGACAGCTTTTGAGGGATCTATGCAAGCTGAAAATCAGCTGGGATGAGGAGATTCCACGTGTATACCAGAAGACGTGGCAACTATGGTTGAATGATTTACGTCATTTGAGCGATATTTCTATCCCGAGGTGTCTGAGACCGCGGGACTTTGGCGACGTTGCAATGTATCAGCTACACCACTTTTCAGACGGTAGTGAGAGCGGATATGGCACTGTCTCATATCTACGGGTTGTCAACAACAAGGGAGAGATTTACTGCTGTTTCGTCTTTGGTCGGTCGAGATTGGCACTCATGAAAGGAACAACCATTCCAAGGTTGGAGCTGGCGGCAGCCACCTTGGCTGTGAAAATGGACAGAATGATACAACGGGCTCTCAGAACCAAGATTGAGTCATGGTTCTGGACCGACAGCACCGCAGTATTGCGCTATATCAGAAATGAGAGAACACGGTTTCACACATTTGTCGCAAACAGACTAGCGGTCATTCGGGAAGGAACTTCACCGCAGCAGTGGAGATACGTCCAGAGTCACTCGAACCCCGCAGATATTGCGTCACGTGGAGCGCGTGTGGACGATATCATGAAGAGTACATGGTTCACCGGTCCCGATTTCCTGTGGAAACAGAGCTGCGAATGGCCTGCGATTCCAGAAAATCTAGGCGATATTTCCCAAGGCATGGAAGTGAGAAGAGACCGACACTCCCATAGAGAGGAACCCGTGACAGCTTCTTTGTTGATCGGACCTGCTGATTTAAAAGCAAGCTGCGTTAATATCGAGCCTCTGGATTCACATCCCGTCGCACGACTCATGAGCCACTATAGTAGCAGATAGAGAGCAATGAGAGCAGTTGCTTGGCTGCTGAAGATACGCCATGCCCTGTTGCATGGCAGAGCGCCACAAAACAGTAACAGTCATTTGAGGATGGACGAGATCAAAGCTGGTGAGCTCGAAATAGTTCTATATGAACAGAACGACAAATTTAGTTCAGAAGTGAAGGCCCTGGCAGCTGGTAGATCTGTGAAGTTGTCTAGCAGCCTGCAACGGTTCAATCCGATCCTGAAGGACGGGATTATGGTGGTCGGCGGGCGTCTCGAAAACGCCCTGTTAGAAGCCAATACGAAACATCCTATCATTTTTCCCTATGATTCTCGGTACACCCGTCTGCTAATACAAGATGTACATGAGCAATCGGGACATCAAGGGCACCAGCACGTTCTCGGCCTACTACGACAAAACTATTGGGTCATTCATGGGAACAAAGCCGTGAGGAAGGTGCTGAAAAGTTGCCTTCACTGTCGGAAAAGATTCCGCCAGCCAGAGAACCAAAAGATGTCTGAACTGCCCACAGATAGGGTTACAGCGTTAGAGCCCCCTTTCACACGGACTGGGGTCGACTGTTTTGGTCCGTTTTATGTGAAGCGGGGAAGAAGGCAAGAGAAAAGATACGGAGTTATCTTCACATGCTTGGTCACACGCGCCGTTCATCTCGAGGTGGCTCATGCTCTTTCTACGGACTCTTTTATTTGCGCTTTGAAACGATTCATGTCCGGAAGAGGCAACGTCAAAGTGGTCCGGTCCGACAATGGTACCAATTTCATCGGAGCGAACAATGAATTGCAGCACGAGTGGAAGAAACTGCAATCTACAAATACCATTTATTCAGAACTAGCAAAGAAAGGGATCGAATGGATTTTCAATACCCCAGGTGCCTCTCACCACGGAGGTGTGTGGGAAAGAATGATCCGATCAACAAGAAGGATACTGGAGTCGCTGCTAACCACGCAGCTGCTGACGGACGAAACGCTCAGAACTTTCCTGTGTGAGGCAGAAAATATTATGAACAGCCGTCCGTTGACCCCAGTGTCCATGGATCCAACCGATGCCGGCCCACTCACACCCAACCATCTTTTGCTGCTAGCACCGGGAGGATTTTTACAAACGGGAATTTGGCAAGAAACCGACAACGTTAGCATGAAAAGATGGAAACAAGCAAGATATATGGCAGGAATATTTTGGAAAAGGTGGCAGGCTGAATACTTGCCACTGCTACAAAAGCGTCCAAAAGACTGGGCTCGTAAGAAACAAAATTTGGAGATTGGAGACATCGTCCTACTAGTTGACTCATCAGTACCGCGGGGACAATGGCCAATGGGAAAAGTAGAAGCCGTCAAGATGAGCACGGACAAACTCGTTCGGTCGGCGACTATCCTCTGCCGGGGGTCACATCTCAACAGACCCATAACCAAACTAGTGAAGCTCTTGTCGAACGAACAAACTGATGATGACCAGACGGGAAACCACTAAACAAAGGAGAAGTCCAAGAAGTGATGGCCGATTGTTCATGATGCGTATTACATGCTCAGACTAGGCGGACAGTACTAATCGATGTGATGATTTGGACGTACGACGGTCCAAAGGGGAGGGTGTCGTGACCGGAGACCCCCCGAAAAAGCGTCTCATGAGCCAGTTCGAGATTTAGTATTTTTGACTAGGTCGTTCAATAAGTAAGGTAAAATCGCATTTATTTCAGTCCACCTTTGGTGTAACGACATGAAACTTGCAACATATGTTAATTGAAATCTTGTCTTCAAAATGGCTATAAGCATTTGGTAGCAGGTCCCATCGGTCAACCACCCCAGCCTTCAGAACTCGCACCTACTTCCAATCACCGTTCAGGCGCACGTGCTTATCTCAGCACTCCACTGAGCATTGAAAATCCGCTCGGAAAACTCCTTATTAATATTTTTTACCATGTCTTTTTATTTTCCTGATTGCCTCATCCGTAAAAAAGTTATTCCCAGAAACAGAACGTCTTCCCGCGATCCAAACACATTGAAGCTGGACGGCGCCAGATCAGGGCTGTACTGACAGATCAGGGCTGTCCTGTACTGACAGAGCAAAGCCGCCTAGTCGGGTATCCTTCTGTTGTTGAGTGAACTCTATTGGTATCCATCTCAGGCAGACCTTTAAAATATCTAGCTTATCTGATGACGCCTGTAGCTGATTTGACATAACACTTCACTCCGTAAATGAAGTAAGTCACGCGGATGCTTTGGGTCTCCATCATCAGCTCGCTGACTTCGCGGATTGTGCCAGATCCAGAGGGTCCTGCAAGCATAGGTCTGCCTGCCGTAGAATTTTGTCTCTTACACTGCCGTATCACTACCCACTGCCCACCACTAAGCATTGTTAATGGCCATATGGCGTCATTAGAGTGCAATTTGCTGCCGACGCCGGTTTTGAGATGAACTCGAGGCTCACCTGACAAAACGGCACTTCCCAAACGGAACCGTGCTGCATCAATGCTTTCATACCGACCGTGTTCGGACAATTTTTCAAACTCCTAAAAACGGTTGGATACATTGTATAGCAAATTTGTCGTAGATTCAGATGACATATTTTATTTTGTTTGACTTGTTAAGGTTAATGAGCTATAGCAAATTTTACCTTACTTATTGAACGACCTAGTATTTTCTCGGAGCATGCAATTTAGGTTAAAATCGAAAAACTGTGTTTTGTGTTGGATTTGGCAGTTGGAAATTGGTTTGGTATTATTTCGTCAGTGTTAAGTTATTTTCTCGGTTATTAATATGGTTTATTTTGTGACGAAAGCGAAGCGATAGAACGACACGACATTACGGATGAACGAAGCCACCGAACGATACGAATTATTTTTGCGACCCGCCTATAAATCCGACATTCTTGGTGAGTGTATGTTCCTTTTATTCTTGTTTGTTTATGCTTTCGGCTGATGCAAGAAGTTCGTCTGTATTTATTTATGTCCGTTGAGTTATGTTATCTAAAGTGTCTCATTTATGTTCTCCAGAAACCGTGAAATAGAAGTTAACAGCGAGTTTTCCTACACGAGTTTTACAAGTCACTGGCGGGCGCAACAGTCAAGTCAAAAAATGTCAAATTTCAAAGTTGATATTTTTGTAGAAAATGGGTATTGATTCGATGCAGCTCGTCACGGGGAGTCTAATGGTGGGCTTTGTTTTGCGCTACGAGGTCTAGAAGTGCTAAAAATTGAGTTTGAAAATTTGACATAATCAATTTTGAACAGTTTTTTTTCGCTATAACTTGGCCAAAAAAAAGAGGTATCGATCTCAAATTTAGTATGTAGATAGAAAGCGGTTGGGACTATCACATATCTTCCGTTTTTTTCGAAATTCAAAAAACTTTATGTTTTTTCGGCTATTATATTTTAAAAATCTGTCTTTTTTTAATTTTGGGAGTCAAAGTCCAATAATTTCAAAAATCCGAGATAGCAGTTTTGTAGCCTTCTACATTCTACACCTTTTATGTCTGAAACATTTTTCTGTATCTCTAAAGCTGTAGGCCTGACAGCTCTTCTCGCGAAACCTTTTTTTTTTTTGGTCGAAAATGGCAGAAATGACGTCACTCTGACGTCATTAGCGTCCAACCTATCATAGGCTTTGGAAAAAAATTTGGTCACAATGTGCAATAGCTGTTCACGGGAGGATACTGAAAGTTTGGTGACGATTGGCGCAGAGGTTCTCGAGATATATCGGAAAAAAACTAAAGGGAGGGGGGCAAAAAAATGCCCCCCCCCCCCCACCGCCTGGAAGGTTAATAATGATTTTCCCAAAAAAGTCATTTTTTTAATTTGGGACAAAATCCAAAATTTTCAAAAACCGAGATAACCATTTGATAGACAAAGTAGAATCACGTATAACCTTTTTTGTTACGTCTTGATTCCTTAAAAAATGAAGATGGTAACGGCGTTTGAAATTTTGCCGTTTTTGAGGCGAAAATGACGGACATGACATCACTTAAACGCCATTTTCTCAAAAATTGTCCGACAGATTTCGCTCAAATTTTCAGGAAACGTTTTAAATTGATGAATAATAAGGTACTGAAAGTTTGACGTCGTTGACGTAACGCGTTTAGAAGTAATTGGCGCAAAACGGGAGGGCGCAGATTCTGACCCCCTCCCCCCCCCAGCGGGGCGCGGGTTAAGTCGTACTAGATCGGAAAAATCCCCCACTGTGCAATGGTTCCGCGCGCCACTTGAAAGGTAGCTTGCAGTTTGTTTGGGGTGCATAAGGATATCTTTGCGCCTATGTTTTTGGATGGGCATTCTAGTGCAGCTGCTTCCACGGCCCCTAATTTCTTGCCACAAACGATTTCAACCGCTCCCGAGTGAAACAGTATATTCATTTTGATATGTTATCCTTTTTTGGAAGTTACGGGCAGAATCACGTTAGCCGAGGCCCCGAGTTGGTGACCGAAAGTGACTGACGTTGTCTGGTGCTGACCGAATTTCAGTGACCGGTGAACTGTGTGCTCGGCACTGGTGGCGGGCAGCGGGTGTCGGGAGAAACGTCAGCGCCTGCAGATCGCAGTGCCCAATGAACGGCGAGCGTCACGGCGCTTCTAGCCGGACCAGTGACAAGACCAGGCCGACTCGTCGGTGCGTCAATGAATTCCGCCGTGCTCCTGGTTGTGTCGGCGCTGGCGGTACAACAGTCTGATGAGGGACATGCTGCCAAAGACTCGACACCTGGTGAGCCAACACATGAAATAGACAGCACGCATTATATAGTTTTTCATGATAAAACGCACAATGAATCTTCACAGGTATCGAAAAAAAAATGTTGCAATGATACACACTTTTATAATAACACGGAACAAAAATGAAAGACCAATGCGTTTCGGCTAAATCGCCGTTATCAGCGTCTAAAAAGATAACTCTTTTACTAGACGCTGATAACGGCGATTCAGCCGAAACGCGTTCGCCTATCATTTTTTTGTTCCGGGTTATTATGCTTGTCTCAGCTGAAATGCAAGCTTTTATATCCCATCTATTCATTTTGATGCAATGCTGCATGCGTCCTCAGTGCACCAAAAATGCATTATGACTTCGTGAACATAACGAACGCCTTTGGTCTCGCAGCACGGCATGGCTTTGATAGAAAGCATATGATTCGTCCATGTATACCCACTCATTTGGCTGGTTCTCGCAGAGTGATGTGTTGAAGGCCTCAAATCAAAGTTCTGCTTACCCACGCAACTCATACCAGTCGGGCAAACTGTGGTCAAATCTTCCATTTCACCACCGCGGCGACTCTTAAAGGGACTATCCCACCTTTAACATGGGGTTTGAGTTGAGATAGCCAAGTTTGCGGCGAGGTTCAGAAACCACTATCTATCTAGGTTGCAACCCCCGCGACATCTTGGTGTTGAAGAAATTCGTTCCCTTCATTTGAAAATGGGCCTTTTACAAGGCCCTATCTTCAACATGGAGCGACCGTTAGTGTGACGTCACCTCGTTTAGTCATTCTGATTTAAATGGGTTTGTTCGTTGAAAAATCGCTTAAAACTTGGTCTGAACTTTGTTGTGGTGCCTACAGAGTAAAAAGAATCAGCTTTATGACAGTAATGTGGCCTGGGGAAGGAGGTAATTTTGGGCTGTGACGTCACATATTTGAAAGTTTGTGTTTGGAATATGGGAAGCCTAAGATGTTTAATGAAAAATAAATGCCAGAACCGTGTTCCTGGTCATCCAATCTATAAAGTCGGGCAAATTTAACTGGTTTTAACAACATTTTAGAAGGTGGGATAGTCCCTTTAATCTCATGTCACAGCGGAGGGGTGTGCTGCGCCGCGAGGGGAGATCGCCGACCTTTCGCAAACTTGATAGGAGGGTCAGGTCGGCGATCCGGCGTGACTGTAGGGCGGACATTGAGGCTAAGCTCCGTGAGCATGGCAGCAGCTCACTGTACCGTGTGATCCGCCCAATTATCGCCGGAAAGCGTAGCAGTGCCCCCTGTATTCCTGCCGCTACACCTGACGAGATAAACGCGTACTTTGTTGGTGTCGGTTCTCGAATCGCTGATGAGCTGGCCAGCCTTGGGCCGCCGCCCGCGGTCCCGTGTCGCCTGCCACGTGTGGGCGCCTGCTGCTTCCGTGTGCGCGGCACCACGCTGGCCCGCCTGCGGGAGGTAATGTTCTCCATGAAGCGTTCCGGTGTGTGTGGGCCTGACGGAATTTGTATCCGGATCCTAATCCTATGTTTTGACGCCATCGACCCTGTCCTTCTCCACATCATTAACTCGTGCCTTACCAGATGTGAAATCCCTGATGCATGGAAACACTCCCTGGTGCATCCTATTTTCAAGTCCGGTGACCCGTCATTACCCTCCAATTACCGCCCTATATCCATAGTTCCTGTCATAGCCAAGATTGTCGAACGTGTGGTGCAGCGTCAGCTGTATGCCTACATGTCCGACAATCACCTCCTATCCTCATCCCAACACGGCTTCCGCCCTCACCATTCAACTGAGACCGCTCTGCTATCTGTTACTAACAGGATTTTTTCCAACATGGACCGCAGTCACCTATCCCTCCTATGCCTCTTGGATCTTAGCAAATGTTTTGACGCCATTCCGCACACTCAGCTCCTTAATTAACAAACTTCCAGCAATATAACATTGACACATCCTGGTTTTCTTCGTACCTCCATGGTCACACCCAGTCAGTCTCTATCTCCTCTCCTTCCGGCACTAGAGTGGTCTCGAATCCCCTTCCTATCACCACGGGAGTGTTCCACGGATCCCTCCTTGGTCCTCTCCTATTCACCATCTTCTCCAACGACCTCAGCCTACACGCGCCGGACGCCCATGTGACCCAGTACGCTGACGACACCCAAATCCTGATGTCCGATGTCAAAGCCAATCTTCCTGACCTCATCCAACGCATGGAATCTACCATTTCCGCTTTGTCTGCTTGGTTCCATGCCCATGGTTTAAAACTCAACGCATCCAAAACTGAAATCCTCCTCCTCGGCACCCGTCAGAACACCCGTAACCTCCCTCCTGTCAGCGTACGGGTCGGTGGCGGGACCGTCCAGGAGAGCCGGACAGTTAAAAACCTAGGCGTGCTGTTTAACCGTCACTTGAGTTGGGACGCACACGTCAGTGACGTGGTTCGCCACTGTACCGGCCTCCTGATCGGTCTCCGCCACTTGAGACATTTCCTCCCGCAGCACGCACTGAAAACTATTGTTGAGGGGTTGGTCATCTCGCGCGTGAGATACTTACTGCATATCCGTTTACGGAAACTGTTCTGCCGACAACTGTACCAGACTTCTCAAAATTTTTAACTTCGCTACAAGAGTTATTACCGGCCTCAAAAAGTACGACCACGTGTCTCGCGCGCGGGATGACCTCCACCTCACATCGGCCAGTGACATGTACCGGGTCGCAGCGGTGACTGTCGCGCGCGGTGCGATTGTGCGCGGTGAACCGACCGTCCTCGCCTCACTGTTCGCCACGAACGCGGGGTCGCGGGCCAGTGGTGACCGCACCACCCGGAACGACGGTCGCCTACGGCCACCAGTTACACGCACTGCGGCTGGGCAGCGTGCCTTTTCATACCAAGCGACCGCGCTTTTAAACCAGCTGCAAGCTGCCCTTTTAGACCTCGATCCGGGCAGTTTCAAGAGAGCAGTGAAGGCGTTCTTCTGATGGTCTGACGAGTGGCTGTGATTGACGGTAGTGTGGTTGCATATGGCGTGTGTGTGTCTGTGTGCGTGGCGAGTGTCTGGTATAATGGTATATGTATAGGTGTGTGATTTGACTTTTTTATTGTCTTTTACCCTGACGTATGTTTTTTTTTACTTTTTTACTCGCCATGACTTTAGACACGGAATAGCCACAATGTATGTGGAGTGTCTGCCTACGTCAATACAATACAATACAATACATTTTTGGAAGCCTTCCATTTTTGGAAGGATTTTCCATATATGGGTACGCACCTTTCAAAAAATGGATACGCTGACGACGTCATCGTACTCAAATATAGAAAATATTGCGCATATGTTGGAACCTACCGATTTCCGCCGAACATGAAGCAAATGCGACTATCGCCCCTGGTCGTTTTCAATTCGCCATAGTGAAGTTTCCATAATCTAGCGTGGATGTCTAAATCCTAGCGTGGATGTATTTTATGTATTTTTTTTTCAAAGTAATGAGTCGTGGAAAATTGACAAATTTATTGACAAACGATGGTTTTGACGTCACAGGTCAGGTCAAAGATCGAATTTTCACCGTTTACAGGCATTTCAAGAAATGCGTTGTAAAATCGAGTAAAATGCATTTCATTGGAGAATTTCCGATGGAGAAATGTTCGTCAAACACATCTATTGCTATTTGAGGTCACTGATACCAGGTCAGGTCACAGAGGTCAGGTCACTGAGGGTCACAAATTAGAAATATCATGTGATGCATGTTTTATGGTCCATTTTATATGCCAAATGCGATTATGTGGGACAGGCAGCCCTTGGGGTCAGTTGAGATTATGTTTTGGTGAAGGTCAGGTCTAGAATTGCTAAAAATTGAGTTCAAAAATTTGACGTCAATTTTTAACAGTTTTTTCGCTATAACTTGGCCAAAAAAGAGGTATCGATCTAAAATTTGGTATGTATATCGAAGAGCGCAGGGACTATCACATATATTCCGTTTTTTCGAAATTCGAAAAAAATTGGAAATTTTTTGAGTTATTCTAAAACAATCAATTGTTTGATTTTTGGGGGTTAAAATCCCAAAATTTCGAAAATCCGATATGGCAGTTTTGTAGCGCCGTCTTTTCTCTACACAATCACATAAAGAACCTTAAAATTGCTTGTCAACTGTAGAATTGGTTAGCGTTTCAATATGTCATGTTTTTTGCTCATTTTTACTCGAACATGACCTCAGTTTGACCTCAATAACTCCTGACCCGAGGTGACCTGTGACTTGGAACTTTGTGTGAAGGTGTCAAATTGATGCCCGGTAAGGTACCCAAAATTTGGCGGCGCTGCGCGCCGCCGTTTTCTCGCTATTTAAAAAAACCACAGGGGGGCAAAATGTCCCTCCCCCCATCAGGGCGCGGGTTAACCGAATTGTTATTAAAGCTCTCCCTTTTCTGAAATTTTACGTTCCGTACTGTATTAGCTGCAACCGTCTCTCTTTTTTTGAATTCTCAATTAGGTTTCTGCTTCATGGGTGTCATGCGCAATGCGCATTGCCATTCTGTTGACTGGCACTTGTAGTATCAAAATAATCGATAGATCTCGAGCAGGCTAAAACTGCTTAAAAAAATACAAACACAGAAAGTTAGCAGTCGTTCAGCAGACTTTTATGTACTCGCTGTTTTGTAGCAGTCCTATGATGCTAACTTTTCCCGCCAATGATTTAGCACCTTTGCAAAATATGTATTTTAGCAGTCTTACAATGAGATAACATGAATAGCCAGAACTTAAATAGCAGGTGCAGAATGAACAAGTAGGAAGCTACTAAGTGAGCCTGCTAAAATGAAAGGAATGCCATGGAAAACTAGGAAGAAGTTCGCGTAAAAAGTATGAGGGTGCAGTGCAAATACAGCCTGATTAGCAATTGAATAGCGCACGATTTAGCACTGTATATGTACTTTTGTCTCTATGTACTTTTGTCCTAAGTCTGTACATTTGCTGACGTACATTTGCAATGTATACTTTTGTTTGCAACCCGTCATTGTATCCTAATCACACACTTCCTTCCGACAGCGGGCTTATGCGCCATCAGCCCTTGGCCGGGTGAGCCGGCCGGCGCGGCGCGAGGCCGGGTCATCCTGGAGAGCGCCAGCGGCAGCACGGCGCAGCTGCTCCTCTTCGGCACCTCGGCCCACTTCTACCGCGTGAAGGCCACGCCGACCGAGCTGACTGTGCACCGGCTGGAGCTGGGCGCGCCGCAGCTCCACCAGGTGGCCCGGCTGTGCCGCCCCGCCGCCTCTAACATCACCTCATCAGTGAAGCTCGAGCTCGTCGGCTACAGGAGGGAGGTCGAGCAGCCTGCTGGCAATGGACCCGCTCCGTGTCCGGAAACGGTTCCGGCAGGACAGAAACATCAGAGGGGCTCCGGCGGCAGAGAGCACGAGGAGGGCTCCGGCGGCACGGAGCACGAGGAGGGCTCCGCGCGGCCCGACTGGCAACGCGAAAGCTCCGTTGCCGACGAGTCCTTTTTTACTGTGGACCGGTCCTTCTCCGGTGCGGATGGATCCTTTTCTGGCGCGGACGAATCTTTCTCCGGTGAGACGGTGATGGACTTAGACCTACTTAATGAACTGGCAAAGCCTCATTCGGCGGAGACAGCAGCAGGCTTTGTCACCTCGTGGGCAGCAGCCGGGTCTGGTGCAGATGAGCCAGAGACGGACGGCCCGCTCGCCTCGCCGTCGCACTCGGACCACCAGCCGATGACTTCCCACGCGGACGAGCCGCCGCTGGCCGACATGCAGGTGCTCACGGCCATGCACTTATTCCCGGCGCCGATGAAATCCACTGGTGACGTCGCGGCGACCCGCGCGACGCTGACCTCGCTGCCAAGTGCGGGAGCGAAAAGCAGGTCGATTCTGAAGTGGTCCGACAGTCACACAGTGTATGTCATCAATGAACTTGTCTCTGGGGAAGACTGGGTCGCGTGGACGGCCGACTGCCCGACCACGCCAGGTAAATGTGGCCGATCACGCCAGGTAAATATGACAGACTGCCCGACCACGCCAAGTAAATATGGCCGACTGCCCGACCACGCCAGGTAAATATGGCCAACCACAACAGGCAAGCATCACCTACTATGTACAGCCGTCTGCAAACTGCGTGGTAGGTATTCTTTTTTCGACAAAACCGAGAATAACGCGAATACTATGCTAACGGTCACTCGGAAATCGTAACAGCAAGACGCGCGAGACTCCGCACATTAGATTGGGCTTATTTTGGTATACATTTTTCATCTAGTTTAGCAACAACACACAAAAGTTTATATTTGCCCCCGAAACAAACTTTTGCATTTTGTTGCTACACTGGGCCTATACTTTGTTCAGTGATAGAACCAATCGAAGGAGTGGAGCATGGCGCATCTATATGCAATGACATCCGACCGACTGATCACATAGCCTTTGAGTTATTATCGGTTTTGCAAGTAAATGGCAAAATACTTGTATGAATAGCATTATTCGAAAAGCAAAAGGTTCCAAAAATACTAACAAAATGAATATATTTAGGACACGGTCCTTAATCAGTTCAAAATTGCAAAATAATAAGCCATTTAGTCACAACAGCGCCAGAATATGTCGATAACCGCTAACTTAGAAAATCACAGATTAGCAAATGTCCGCAAAACAGACAACTATTACAGTTTGATATGTTCGCAAGGTACTATTATAGTACCCTTCCATATAAATAACATATACCTATGTGTCCACAATTTACACATTAACCTTCCAGGCGGTGGGGGGCATTTTTTGCCCCCTTTAGTTTTTTCGATATATCTCCAGAACCGCTGCGCCGATCGTCACCAAGCTTTCAGTGCCCTCCCGTGAACAGCTATTGCACATCGTGACCAAAATTTTTTCCAAAGGCTATGATAGGTTGGCCGCTAATGACGTCAGAGTGACGTCATTTCTGCCATTTTCAACCAAAAAAAAAAGATTTCGCGGGAAGAGCTGTCAGGCCTACGGCTTAAGAGATACAGAAAAATGTTTAAGACATAAAAGGTGTAAAATCAAAAGGGCTACATAAACTGCTATCTCCGTTTTTTTTGAAGAAAAAAAATTGGATTTTGACCGCTAAAAATCAAAAAATATTTTTTTTTAATATAATAGCCGAAAAATCCAAGAAGTTTTTTGAATTTCGAAAAACGAAACATATGTGATAGTCCCTACCGCCTTCTATCTACATATCAAATTTGAGATCGATACCTCTTTTTTGGCCAGGTTATAGCGAAAAAAAACTTAAAAATTGATGACATCAAAATTTCAAACTCACTTTTTAGTAGTTCTAGACCTCGTAGCGCAAAACAAAGACCACCATTAGACTCCCCGTGACGAGCTGCAACGAATCAATATCCATTTTTTGCAAAACTATCAACTTTGAAATTTGACCTTTTTTGACCTGACCTTGACCTGACCTCCACCAGAAAGTGACCTAAACCGTACCTGATGGTCTTATAACCAACACCATTGAGTTGGAAATGAAAAAATTGGTCATAAAACATACATCGCACAACCTTAGTAAAGTTGGGTTCATGTGGTCACCCTTGGTGACCCTTGGTGACCTGACCTGATATGACCAGTGACCTCTAATAGCAACATATGTTCTAGACAACTGACGCCCTATCGCTGATTTTCGACAAAATGCGTTTGTTTCGGTGTTATAGCGCTTTCCCTATAAGCCCCGTGAACGGTGAAACATCTTTGACCTGACCTGTGACGTCATCGGTGACCCCGAGGTCAATGAAATTTGGTTTCCTTCGACAAATTTGACAGGGCTATCGAACACCGTTTGAATTTTCCAGATCCGTCCAGTAGTTTCGGAGATACGGGGGGGGGGGGCAAAAAAATGCCCCCCACCGCGCGGAAGGTGGCCGGGAGGCCCACCGCCTGCCGGATTAACATCCCTATCATCTATCAATCACTACGCCACCAGCATCCAGTCATCAATTCAACCATTGAGCCATGCAATCAGTTAAGCACCTAACCATCCATGTACCCACACCGCACTCAGCTATATAAATAATTTAACAATTCAGTCATCAAAATTACTATCTCACATCAAAAATATGATTACTTTATCAATAAACCATTCTCTCAAACATCAAAACATGTTTTCCTTTTTCCTCATTCATTCATTCATTCATTCATTCATTCATTCATTCATTCATTCATTCATTCATTCATTCATGCATTCATTCATCGATACGGGTGAATATAAAAGGCCACTTGTCATCAATGCCTATACTAGGCATCAGAACAGAAAACAGTACAATAGCGAAGTTGTAAATGCTAGAGTCCTACATCAGTGAGGACATGATCAGTTTCGCATTATTTACACTTGCTCTGTGACTTGTTACCCTTTAAAGGATGGTCCAGGCCGCTATGTTGCTGTTCAGAGCTGGGCGAATCTGTTTGATCCAAAGAGACTCCGCTATTTTCCTACCTTTACTTTCATCGCACGCCTGCAGAATCTTCGCCCTTACGTTATGGGGTCCCGGCCGACACTGGGGATGCTGTGTTCGGAAATGCTCGCCCCACGGGGAGTCCTTCCGCTTATGTTTGGCATCTCGCAAATGCTCATTGTGCCGAAGGCGCACCGAACGTCCTGTGGAAGGGTACTATTACTGTATGCCTGGCCTATTCAAATACATTAGCCAGGGGGTGTGGTAATAAACTAATAACTGGTGTAAGCAAATTGACCACGGTCAAAAACATTGACCTATAATAAGTATTACTTATTATAGTAGTATTACTTATTAAGTACTACTTATTAAGTATTACTCACAGTGTATGTATTACTTATTATAGGTAAATGGTCAAAAATGCATTACCAGAATGCACTTAAGCCAACATTTTGGGATGGTCTCGTTCCTAAAGGCCGCCCCACACTGGACCTCGCATGCGGGTTGCGATTTTTGGGGTTTTCGGGTTTCTTCCAAATCAAATAATACAATCTAAGCTGAGTGACCCACACTACCATCTAAAGGCCGAAACAGACTCTTTCCGCGTGCAGGAAATCGCATGCGAGAGCCTATTCAAATACATTGTAATTCTTCTCGCATCAATCGCTTGCGGGAGGTGCGTGCAATTGATGCGAGCGTGCTTTCATGTATTTGAATAGGCTCTCGCAATTCGCATGCGATTTCCTGATTACGGAAAGAGTCTGTATCAGGCTTAACCCTCGCCCGTATAGCGGGGGGGGGGGGTCGAACGGACTTTTCGCAAATAACTCGCGTAAAAAGCGGCCGATCGCGACGAAACTTTCAGTACCCTCGCGTTCATCAATTTCACACCTACCCTGAAAATTTCATGACCCTGACCCAAATTACCATTGACCTGTGACCTACTTTTCGAGACCATGTTTGGCTGGAATCGCGATTCGGCGTAGGTATGTCGGCTCGCATTAGCCGCGCGTTTGCAGTCTTTTCGTGGTTTCAAGCGCTCAAACATGTGATGTGATGTTGCCCCCATGCATTAGGGTGGGTGTCAAGGTCACCTGAAGGTCAGGTCAGGTCGTTGACCTTTGATGACCTCGGTTCACTTTTTCGAGTTTTACATGTTTCTAGGCCAGTTTTTTTTAGCTGAATTCGAATTTAGCAACCATATGAACATTTACGAAGTAGTTTTGGTGCATTAATAACATGTTACGAAGCTGTCAGAGGCGGTTGCCACTTACTACGAATACCGTTACTGGTTGACCTGACCTGACCTGACCCGACCTGGCCTAAATACATGAAGACATCATCTGTGATCAAAACTAACATGATATTCGTGATCAGCACCCCGAAAAACCCCATAGCAGCCACACTTTACGACGTTCAACAGGTCCCGATTTTCCCGCCTTTGGGGTCATTGACCTGACCTGCAAGGTCAACCAATGACCTAGGACCTTAAAATTGGGTATCATCGGCTTCCTCTCGTCCGCGAAGCTCTAGCTCGATCAGGGGCGAAACGGCAAGGGGGTCCAACGGACCCCCCCCCTTATACGTTCGCGGCTGGAAAAACACCAATACGGGCGAGGGTTAACAAACGAGTCTGCATGTTTTTAGTTTGCGAGCCACCTTGCATCGCATTCCAAAAGTTGATTTTGAGTCAACTTTCGATTTTCCTCGCTGCGAGGTCTGCGAGTTCTGCGAGGCTTGCGGGTTTTTCGTTGGAGTCGAATTTTGGTTTGTTGCGCTGGTATTGCGACTATATGTAATTTTCTGAAGGTGTACCGGCTTCACTGCATTCATGAAGTTGCCATAAGGGAACGGTCTAATCACTCTATGAATTAGTATTATGGCCGCAAACTCAGAACCCGCAAACTCGCAACCCGCATGCGAGGTCCAGTGTGTGGCGGCCTTAAGTCGGCTAAGAGCTTCGGTCCAGAAAATAAATTTATCGTTGGCATACAGTAAAATACATACCAAACTCGGCCGGTGATAAATTTTCAAGACCTCAGTCCTTGCTGATTTTTGAACTCGGCCTTCGGCCTCGTTCAAAAATCCAGTAAGGACCTCGGTCTTGAAAATTTATTTACACCGGCCTCGTTCAGTATTATATAGTACCTTGCGAACATATCTAACTGTAAGATAGTTGTCTGTTTTGCGCGAGAATTTGCCAATCTGTGATTTTCTAACTTAGCGGTTATCGACATATTCTGGCGCTGTTGTGACTAAATGGCTTATTATTTTGCAATTTTGAACTAGTGAAGGATCGTGTCCGAAATATATTAATTTTTGTTAGTATTTTTGGAACATTTTGCTTTTCGGAATCATTGAACATAAGATTATCTTTAAAAGAAACTTAATATCGGTTTTGTCGAAAAAACAATACCTACCACGCAGTTTACAGAGGGCTGTACTCATGGGCGGCGCCACCGGGGGGGACGGGGGGGACAGGTCCCCCGCTATCGAAAGTTAGGGGGGTACAGTACCCCCCTATCGGCGAGGGCCGTTCAATAGTTGATAATAATGC